AAAAAAAAAAAAAAAAAAAAAAAAAAAAAAAAAAAAAAAAAAATGCCCCCCAAAAAAAAAAAAAAAAAAAAAAAAAAAAAAAATCCTGAATATTTCCAAGATAATGTCAATATAGCATTCTCGCAGATGCGTGCGTATAAAAGACCCACAATAAATTTTAATCTTTAAGAAGATAAAAATATGCCAAATTATTGAGATCAATAAGATAGAGAAGAATTTAAATTTACGTTTAGATTAAATGTCATTCTTCTCAAATTCTAAGAATTTAAATTTCCACAGTAATTCATTAACATCTTATTAATATTCATGCAGAAACTTTATTATTTCAATTACATACTCTTCCGATTACTAAACAGCTCGCGATTATTTATTGATTGTTAATAATTATCACAGAAAGTTCGTAAAACAATAACCGCGGAGATTTTACAATACGTATGTATATTATTTTTGCATTGTCTAATATATTTATTTAGACATAGTTATATAATAGGTACGCTGAAGACGGAAATTTTTTAATTCGTAATTCTAGATTTTCATTAAGTACGCTAAAGATTTTAAATATTTTGTTTTTCTTTAAGAGTTTAGATTAAAGAGCTTAGTTCCAAATGACTTTGTAAGTTAATGACTATATGTTGATAATATTTGTTATATAGCAATTAAAGATATATATGACATATGACATGCATGAGCTTATTATTTTTACTGATAGTATCTCAATATTTAAAAAATTATTTAATAAGTTAATTCATAAATGGGAAGATATTTAACAATTATTAAATGATAGAAATTTTATTAATTTGTATTTATCATCAGTTTAGAAAATATAGAATAAAATATAAATAAATAAAGTTCGTTAAACATTATAATTTTCACAGCTGTATTCTCACAATTAAACATGTTCTTTTTTTTTCTAATTTAATTTATTCTTTTCTAATAGTTCTAATTTATATTATTTCCTTTGATTATCTCACGTAAAAGATGCTTTGTTTGTGGCTTAAAAAGTTTTTCTTAACTGACATAATATTAGATAAATTGAAGTTGTTATTTTAAAATGGTTGCTTTCTATACTTATTGATTTTCCGTACTTTTAAATATTATTCCGAAAAGTTTTGTTAAAAACTTTTAACGAAATTATGCCTCTATTTTGAATAATAAATAATTTTTCAAAGTATTACAGCTTAGTTATATATATTGTTTTTTGTTATTATAAGTATAAGTATTTTCTTCCATCGTTAAATCAATAATAATTTGGTTATAAACAATATTTATTAATTAATTAATTATTAGTAAGCATATTGTAAAAAATGAATGGAAATCGATATTCTAGATTACACAGATATTAAAAATAATTGTATGTAGAAATATCTCTTTCCTTCTCAATTATTTACTAAATTTCAAAAATTTTAAACTTAAGATTTTCTAATTATGCTTTTCTTAATATTTGATCACTGATTATAATTTAATCACATATCGAATGTTTAATTCAGAACAACGTAATTATACAATAAATTTGCTTTTCTATAATTGCACATTTCATTGTACGGTATATTTTTAAAATATAGTCATAAAAAAAAAAAATCTGCTTTATTTATTCACGTTTATATAATGTAGGTAATGATGAAAACTTTTTGTTCAGTAACGGAAAAGATAATTTTCACAATTTCCAAAACTAATAATTTATAATTGTAATAATTATTAGATATTTTATTGTTTCCGAAATTTTCACTGCATCCGAGACATCGTTATTTTTACATTGCAATTCACCTGCGACCTTAGATCTTGTGTATCTGCTTAATATCTGATTTATAATTCCAGTATTTAGCAACAATAAGAAAAATTATTTTAAGCCTATGAGTATAACTATTCCGACGATTTAAATAAATAAATAAATAAAT